CTCGATCCATGGTTGAGGACGTGGCGCGAGCATCCCGAGTTGAGGTCGGGGGTTCGGCAGGCGTGAGATCGAGTGCTGCATCGCATGGTGTCTTTACCTGAGGAGCAGCCACTCCGGCACGCGCAAAGCTCCACGACGGCAACGGTCTTACATCTTCTGCACGCTGGGTTCACGCCGAAGCAGGCGACCTCGCTGGACGTCCCCATGAGCCATCCTGCAGGAGGCAACTCCTGGAGGTTCGAGGATGGGATGCATTCAAGGGATCGCAGTGCTTGATTACCAACAAGCTTGAGATCTTGCGGCTCCAGCTCTGGCCCTGGCAAGGCGCCAGCCAACACTTTCGTGTCGCATGGATGAAGCAGGGTGCCGGATTTTGCTCAGACAACTGGCCACAGCCCCCAAACTACGACCAATGTCTGCCCGAGGTCATGTTGGCGTGCGCTGTTGGGGGGGGGAGGGGCAGCTGGCCGCGGGCTCTGAACTGTGCCCTAGCTGCGGCAAGGAGCCCGAGTGTGCAGTTCACCGCAGCTGGCAGTGCGAACACCACGCAGGCAGCGAAGCCTCTCGAGAATCTGAAGAGCCAGAGCCTTAAGGCGCTCGCACAGCTGGCCGACGGGCCTCATGCTGGCACCCTGGACGGCGCTGCCCCCCCCCTGTTGGCCGACGAGCTCTGGACAGGCACAGCAGAGCTCGTGGGAGTCGCGATCGACGAAGGGTGCGCCGCAGGAGGCTCCGAGCACGCTCCTCCCCTCACTTGCGGTGATGCCAGCGGCGGCCCCGACGCGCGCGTCCTCTGCTCAGGCGTGTTCGGGCAGCGCTGGCACCTCTTCTTCTTCACCGGATGTCATTGCACCGACCTTGCAGACGTGCTGCAGCGGATGTTGTTGCGTGGGTTTCTGTCAAGGCAAGACCCCCAAACGCCCAGTGAAACACGAAGTGAATTTCGCGTGGATTGTTTCGTTGTCTTCGTTCCTGGCCCCAACAAAAATCCGCACGACATTCACCTCGAAATTCGGAGCGACATTCTCCGGGACACTCCGGGCCCGTCCCATCGTTTTCAGAACGAAATCCGCGAAATGTAGATGGAGCCCACTCTTCAGCTAGCCGCCACCGTGAGAGGCCCGCTCGTGGGAGCCGGCAGGCGGTGGCCAGAGGGGGGGCTGGAGGGCTCTCCGCCTCGCCCTCTGGGGTGTCGAAAGGGGGTCCGCTCTTCATGCTTCTGGCTGCGAGTCGGTTGTTCGGGGCTGGTAGGGGCGCTCCGCTGGGGGGGGTCCTTCTCGTGCTCCTTCGTCTGCTCGACATCACTACCCTCCTCCCCCCCCTCCTCCTCCTCCTCCATCATTACCCTCCTCCTCCTCCTCCTCCTCCTCCTCCTCCTGCTCCTCCTCCTCCTCCCCCCCCTCCTCCTCCTCCTGCTCCTCCTGCTCCTCCTCCTCCTCCTCCTCCTCCTCCTCCTCCTCCTCCTCCTCCTCCTCCTCCTGCTCCTTCCTCGCTCAATTTGGCGAGCCCTGCGGCGAAGAACGCCGAACTCTGGGCCGAGAGAGGGCAGGCCCCGGCAGTCGGCACGGGGCCAGGTGCGGTCGGCGCGGTGGCTGTCGTCGGGTCGCCTCCCAGTCGGAGGGCACCGCTTCGCAGGCAGCGCTCCCGCTGGGTGGTGGCGCGGAACTTCACACACACACACAAACACACACACACAAACACACACACAAACACACACACACACACGTGGATGAGATGGTGTGTGTGTTCCACGTGTGTTTTTGCCCCCCCACAGTGTATGTATGTGTGTATATATATTTGATCCACCGTGTGTTTTGTCCACAGAGATGGTTGGCTTGGCCGCTTCAGAGGCCAGGCTGCCTGGAGGAGTTAAGCACATTCTTTTGATCCGCAAGAAGCGCGCCAGACTGGTGCGCATGCGCATCCTGCGCGCCGCTCGCGACGCAATGGCAACTGAGATCGGTACGACGCAACTCTGCCACCTTTCCGCCTGCCGCTTCCTGCCTCGCCCTTCTCCACTCAACGCACTGCGTGGACGACACTGGTCGTCGACGTACGAGGTGCGGAGGTTCGGCGACGATAGCCAGGCGGAAGCCTGGCTCAGGATCACGTGCTTCTGTCGTGTCAACTATAACAGCGTGATCTTTCGGAAGCCTCCAAAGGCAGCGCTGCATATTGCTAAAGGGGTCGTTCATCCCAGCCATAAGATGCAGTAACACGGATATTTGAAGTTTTAGTTCATAGAGCGCGTGTGTTGCACTCATCAGTTGGTGGTCTTGTCAGGTTATCCCAATAGAGCTGAATACCTGCGCCGCATTTCGCAGGGGCTATGGCCAAAAGTCCCGAGCAAGTCTGAGCAATATGATCTACGCAAACAGGCGAAATTCATGAGTGCTTGCTCGGCTTAGCTTCTCGCTAACATTGCCACATGGTCATTATCAAACTGGTACTCCTCCTCCTCCTCCTTCTCGATTTCGCCCTCCTCGCCCCTCCTTCTTTCTCATCCTGCCCTCTCCTACAAGTTCCCTCCTCCTCCTCCTACTTCCACTTCTACCTCATCCTATTCATCTTCGTCGTCTCTCCTCCTGCTCCACGTCATCCCTCCTCACTTGTCCTCCATCCTGTTCCGCCGCCTTCTCCTCCGCCTCATCTTCCATCCATCCGCTTTCCTTTAAAGCAACTCCTCCTCGTCACGCCACCGGGCGTTTCGATAGGGAGCGCTGGGCGTTGCGCCCGAGACTTTCCGACACATGATAATGGTGGAACATTCAGCCGTTGCACAGCGGGCAAATCGCTTTCAATGTGTGGGACTCGCCTTAACATCACCCACATCCGTCATAAAGGATCCCAGCGGCTTCACTGATGAGTACGGGCCGTTGACATTCGCGTTAAAGGTCCAAGCAATTTCACGGATGGGGGCGGGTCGTGTTCGAAGTGTGAACTTCGCCTCCACGTCGCTCACACACGCATTCCAAACTTCCAGCAGGTACACGCATGAAGGTCGGCCTCATGTGTCCCGTAGGGTCCTGGTGAATACTTGAGCTTGACGGCGCAAAACGCATCGAACTCATCGACCTTCCGAGAATGGACCTTGTGTCAACCTGAGGTCGATTCTTAAGCTACGATACATGTTACCATCCATCCCGAAAACCAGATGTAGATCACCGACATTCAATCAGTGAGCGCCGATTCGCGCAATCATGCTGGGTAGCTGCACCAGTTCGATTCACAAATTGGGCACAACCAACTCCTGATGAGAGCTATACGACGTCTCCAGCAGAAGCTTGGCCGACGGATGATTCAGCCCCGGCTTAAAAAAAATGCGGCTCCCGATTGGAACTCCTTCTACCACTCCACCAAAAGGTAGCCATGACGATACATGTTGGCCAGGAGGGCGTCCATCGATCTAAGGGTCACTGGCCATCGCTCGAACGTCCATTCCCTGTGTTTTTGTTCGGTGTCGTGCGTGGATTTTTTCGCCAAATGATCAAGGATGCTCCTCGATGGTCCCCACCAAGGAAAAAATGCACACGTCCGAGCGATGCCAAATGCAAGGGTCATAGGGCTGAGAATGCGCAGCGCATGGATGGGCGAGGACGCCCGCCCGACACGAGGCTGTCGACCGAGAGCCCCATGGCATCCTGCGGCGGAGAAGCGCGCCAGCCTGCGCATCGGCTGCGCGGTGAAAGGGTCGGCCCTTGTTGAAGCGCGCGCTCTCCTCTGACCCTGCACCTTCGCCCTCCTGCCAACTGCGCGGATGGAGCGTCGCGCGGCTGAGGGGGCGGGCCAACTGTCTCGGACTGCTCGGCCTCTGCTGCTACCTCCGCTGCAACATCCCCCTCGCCTGGGGGGTGGGCCTCCTGCTCCGCCAGCTCCAGGAGGAGGAGGAGCAGGAGGAGGGGGGGGGGAGGAGGAGGAGGAGAAGGAGGGGGAGGAGGAGGAGGAGGAGGAGGAGGAGGAGGAGGAGGACGAGGAGGAGGAGGAGGAGGAGGAGGAGGAGAAGGAGGAGGAGGAGGAGGAGGAGGAGGAGGAGGAGGAGAGGAGCAGGGCGGATTCTTTTCAGAGCGGAGCTCTTTCCCGAGCGGCAGGCCCGTGCGGCTGCCGTCCTTCCTGGAGGCGCCGCCCGCAGGGAGGAGCGAAGGTGCGGTCTTGCGGGGACTGGGCTGGAAGCGAAGGGGACCGGACGGGCAGGCGCTGGGGCTGGGACAGATGTGCTGCAGGGGTTGTTCTGGTACTGGGGCTTACGTGGGCGATTTCGGGAACCCTGAGCCCCAAAACGTTTTCATCTCTTGGGGGGGGAACTTCTGACTTCCGCCGCCTTCCGCCGAGCTTCCGCCGGCCCAGGCGGCCTCGCTTTCCGCCGACCTTCCGCCGCCTTCCGCCGAGGAAGAGATGACAGCTCCTTCGATCCTCGAAGGCAGGGCCCTTTGTGGAACACCCCATGTGCTGGTGCTGGGATGGGGGACTGGGGCCGAGACTGCTGTGTTGGCGCCGGAAGCTTTCTATTATGGTCCCCCAGGTGACTTGGATATGGAACTGGTGTGCTCCAACACACACACACACACACACACACACACACGCACGCACGCACGCACGCACGCACGCACGCACGCACGCACGCACGCACGCACGCACGCACGCACGCACGCACGCACGCACGAACACACACACACACAAACCGTTGACGCATCCCAGGCTCCTTCTGGTCCTTCTCCTGCTCCCGCGCGCGTGCGCGCTGGCGCTGACTGGGGAGGGGGGAGGGGGGAGGACGAGGAGGACGCCAGCGGCCGCACGCAGGTGGCTCCGAGGCGAAGTACCCCCAAAGCACCGTATACAGGCCCAGAGGCGGGGCTCCCGCCAGAACGGTCCGAGCCCAGGCTGCTCGAGGCGCCAGCCTGGGGGGAGGGGAGGGAGGAGGAGGGCGAGGAGGAGGGAGGGGGAGGGGAGAAAGGGGAGGGGGGTGGAGGGAGGAGGAGGGAGAGGAGGGCGAGGAGGAGGGCCTCGTGCTCGGCAATCTCCTTCTTCAGTCTGGCGATGGTGGCGGCGTGCAGCTCGATGTCCGCCTGGAGCAGGGGTGGGGGCGCGACGGCGCGACGGCGAGACGGCGCCGCCGCCGCCGCCACCGCCTCCGCCGCCGCTGTCCGTCGTCGCGGTCGTCGCCGCCGTCGTTGCCGTCGTCGTCGGTGTGGTCGCCGTTGTTCTCGGCGGATGCGGAGGAAGAAGAGGAGGATGAGGAGGAGGTGGAGGAGGAGGAGGGGGAGGAGGGGGCGGAAGTGGAGGTGGAGGAGAAGAGGAATAGATAAGAAGAGGTGGAGGGAGGTGAAGGATTGCTGGAGCGGGGAGAAAGCAGCGACCCGTCCCACCCAGCACTCCATCACATCACAAACGTACCAGCACAAGCGTGCCAGGAATAACAGTGCAAGCATGACAAGAGGAGCGTCGTTCCGCACTCCACGAGCTGATGCGGAGCCAGATCAAGGCTCGCCCGCAGGGCATCTGGCGGCCGACCTATTGCTGCAAACGGGCACAGGCACAGGACGCGATCTCCCAGAGGGCCGTGGCCCATTCACTGGAGAGGCCCGCCGAGATGCTGCCGAACCTCATCCTCCTGCTCCTCCAGGGGCGCTTGCCTTCAGGATCTCTATCTTCTCGTCGGCCTCCTTGATCGACCGCTCCTTGGCGGCGGACGTGTCGTCGCAGAACTGCTTGTAGGCGGCGAACTGGACCTGCGAAGGGGGAGGAGGAGGAGGAGGAGGAGGAGGAGGAGGAGGAGGAGGAGGAGGAGGAGGAGGAGGTGGAGGAGGAGGAGCAGGAGGAGGAGGAGGAGGAGGGGAGGAGAGGGAGGGAGGGAGGGAGGGAGGGAGGGAGGGAGGGAGGAGGAGGAGGAGGACGACGACGAGGAGAGGGACAAAAATGGAGGCGCCCGCCGCGCGCGCGCGAGCGGCAGGGGACGCAGGGCCGAGGAGCCACGGAAGCCGTGGAGCAGGGCCGGAGGGAGCGAGGGACACCGGGTGGAGGCCCGTCCACAAGAGACCTTCCACGAGAAACCCAACCCTGAGACCCCAGTCGGGTGTTGGCAGAACTGGTTTGCGCCCCCCCGCCCCGTTCCACTAACCGGAACTGCCGTCACCCGAAAAACACCAGCTGCGGCAGACCTGGTTTAGTGATTCTTGCCAATTTAGGGGCTATGGGGCCCTACCGCAAACGGGGTCCCCTTACCTGGGGTCCTGGCTATACCCGACCCAGGGCGTCCATCGACTCTTGTGGCGCGGGAACGCCACGCCCTCCACGCGCAGAGCCGCCGAAGAGCCCGTCTCGCAGAGCCGTCGGAGAACCCGGGCAGCCCAGGGCACCCTGGAGGCAGGCAGGGTGCGTCTTGGCATGGGCCTCCCCCGTGCGGGCCGGAACGGCTACGGCGCCGTGGCTCCCCCTTCTCGCACCAGCGTCCGCTGGTTGGCGCCACGGGGGCGGCCACCCTGCGCACGCCGCAATGCCCCCCCCGCGAGCCGAGGGAGCGGCGGCCGCCGCGGGCCGCCGCGGCCTGCTCCTCGTGCTTCTCCGCCTGCGAGCGCCGGCGCTGCCGCCAGCGCTGCCGCCGCCGTCGCTGCCGCTGCCGCCTCCGCCGGCGCTGCCGCCGCTGCAGCTGCTGCCGCCCGCTGCTCCAGCCCGCCGACGCTGCCGCCGCTGCCGCCTCCCTCGCCGCCCCCCGCCTCTGCCGCCGCCGCCCTCCGCCTCACCGCCGTCGTCGTCGTCGTCGCCGTCGTCGTCGTCGTCGTCGTCGTCGTCGTCGTCGTCGTCGTCGCCGTCGTCGTCGCCGCCGCCGCCGTCGTCGTCGCCGTCGTCGTCGTCCTCCTCCTCCTCCTCCGCCTCCTCCTCCCCCCCAGATCTCCGACGATCTGAGGCTTCCAAGTCTAGCACTGCCCTTCGATTTTTCGGCCCCTCAGGGTCGGTCTGGGGGCCAAAAGGAACCATCAAGAACAAAGCCGATGCGAGGAACTGCCCCTTCGGAAAGGGTCGGGCCCTCCGGGGCATCGCAGTCGAAAGCATCTCAGCCGGATGTCTGAGGTCGTCGCGACCGCCGTCGTACTTTGAAAGGTTCGGTCGGAGCGCTCCAGGGGGAGAGCGGGGGAAGGGAGGGGATGCCAAGTCTTGCCCTCGAGCCTCCAGGTTGGAGGGAGGGAGGCCTCCCGACGTTTCTGGCCCTTGTCGGGCCTCCAGACGCCTCTGGGGACCCAGACATCTGGCTACTATGCTCTACTTTTTTCGCTGCGTGGGCCCCGGAGGCCTGGACCACTTCCCTATAGGCAGGTCTTTCGCCCTGGAAAGTTTTTTGACGGTCCCGAGGCCGGGCGAGGGCCTCAGGAGGCCGAAGTCAGCCCCAAACCGCCCGCTCCACTTTTTTGGGCCTCCGGAGATGTAGCCGGAGACCTGCGAGGACCCCCGGGGAGGCTTCCGGGGGGTCGGGGTCCGGGGCCCAGGAGGAGGGGGAGGACCCAAGGGGTGCGAGCAGCGGGGGGCAAGATAGGTCTAATCAGCGCCGCGTTGATCTCTGACCCCGCTCACCTTGCCCCTCCTCCTCCTCCTCCTCCTCCTCCTCATCCTCCTCCTCCTCCTCCTCCTCCTCCTCCTCCTCTTCCTTCTTCTCCCCTCCTCCTCCTCTCCTCCTCCACCACCTCCTCCTCAACCACCTTCTCATCATCATCGCCATATCATTATCACGCTGATCCTCCTCTTTCTCCTCCTCCTCCTCACCCCTGTCTGCCTCCGCTCACCTTGCCTCCCTCCTTATCGAACTCCTTGCACCGTCGCCGCCTCCTCCGCCTCCTCCGCCTCCACCGCCTCCTCCTCCTCCCCGTCCCCTCCTCCTCCTCCTCCTACTCCTCCTCCTCCTTCTATCCCCCTTCTCCCTTTCTCCCTCTATCCCTCCGCTCCTCCTCCTCCTCCTCCCTCTCCTCCTCCTCCTCCTCCTCCTCCTCCTCCCCTCCCCTCCTCCTCCTCCTTCCTCCTCCTCCTCCTCCTCCTCTCCTCCTCCTCTTCCTCCTCCTCCGCCTCCTCCTCCTTCTGTTCCTCCTTCTCCTCCTTCTTCTTTACCTTCTCTTCCTCCTCCTCCTCCTCCTCCTCCACTTTTTCTAAATAGCGCCTCCCGGTCGCACCACGAGGCTGGTCGAAAGGGCGGGCCGAGCGTTTCGCCTGAGACTTCCCCACCACTTATCACCCTGAAGCTTGAACATCGACAACAGTTTCACACATGGTGGGCGGGTGTTTTCAACATGTGGCTCTCGCCTTAGCGCCTGAACATTTGCAAGAGCTTCACGGATGGAGGGCAGGCGGTTGTTTTAATGTGGCTTTCGCCTTGGCGCCGCGTGCGCTCGTTCTAAAACTTGAATGTGGCTCGTTTTCAGAATGTGGTTCTCGCCTCCGCGCCGCGCGCATTTGTTTTCAGCACTTACAAGAGCTTCGCGAATCGAGGGCGGCTCGCTTTCAAAATGTGGCTCTCGCCGCAGCGCCGCCCGTGCTCGCTTGAAACAGTTGTGAGAGTTCCACACATACCCATGGTTGGAGTACTAGAAATGGCGTTCTGGAAAGATTCAGGACTGTGGGGGCGCAACAGTTACGTTGACTCGCGGTGTTGAAGTCCCACAAACGGCGTTCTGGCGCGACTCAACGTCAACAAGACGCAACAATCGGGTTGATCCGTGGCGTTAGCCTCGCAAGGATCGTACGTTTGGCATGCTTTACGGTCTTCAAACGGCTACCTCCCAACGAGGCAGTTCCCTCAGCGGGAATGAGCCCTTACAGGGGCCCATGACGAGGGAGCTTGGAGGGAGGGTTGCCTCCAACATCGTTGATGACTCTTGGGTTTACACTGGTCCCCCTCCTCCTCCTCCTCCTCCTCCTCCTCCTCCTCCTCCTCCTCCTCCTCCTCCTCCTCCTCCCCCTCCTCCTCCCGCTCCTCCTCCTCCTCCTCCTCCTCCCCCTCCTCCTCCTCCTCCTCCTCCTCCTCCACCTCCTCCTATTCCTCCTCCTCCTCCTCCCTCCTCCCTCCTCCTCCTCCTCCTCCTTCCTCCTCCTCCTCCTCTGGCAGCAACGCCAGGGCCTCTGTGCACAGCTGCTCGCACCAGTCCAGAGACGCAACTGGTTCAGCACTGAAACTGTACATTACAGCAGCGGGATGAATTCGTCGATGTCGACGAACACACCCTTCTTATCAGGGTGGAGGCCTTTTACGGAGCTTGCGCATGTTGTTCATGCCCGTCTCCGTAGGAGGACCGCACTTACGGCCCAGGCCTAACGCAACTCCACCACTGCTGTAAAACTTGCACGGCATGCAAATGAACAGGTGAGACTTATCTGAGCATGGGAACGCCAACACTCTATGCCCGAGACGCTCCAGGACGGCCTGATCGAGCCTGCTGCGGCCCGCACATTCCGAACCACCCAGCGGCAAAGAAACCGCCCTGGAACCACGCAAACAAACACGGCACCGCCAGAGACTGCCCTGGCGTTCCCACTCGTGCTCGAGTTCCAGACCGACAGGTCGAGGTGGCTTGGGCGGCTGGACTCGCTCAAGGCCACGGAACTCTACTTCGGGCCAGAGCTGGAGGAGCTCCGCCCCACCCGGCAGCACAGCACGAGCTACCTTGATAGTCCGATCCAAGTCTTCCGACTCCGTCGGCGACATGGTCGGATGGCGCGACGCGCCCTCCTTCGCTGCCACATCAGCGTACGGATTCCCCACCCTCCGAAACCGCTCCCCCGCCGACAAACCCTCCTCGTCCACATCTTTGTGGGCAGCCACTTGGTGAAAGCCTTCACAAAAACGGCCAAAGTGGTGGCGAGCCTGCATGGCGAAGCCAGAGTATTGTCGGGTGGGCCCTAGCGCCTCGACGGCGCCTGGATGCTGTAGCAACACTACGCTGGAACCGTATGAATAACATTTGGCGGGGCCTTCAGTATATAAAGCTGTCCAGGCAAGTGCCCCAAACTCGGCACCTAGGGGGGTCTGAGGCAACGGAGCCCAGAGGGGACCTCTGATGACCCCCAACTTCTCCCCAGACCCCAAGACCATCACCACCGCCCACCCAGCCCAGGACAGCTCCCTAACAGTGTGCCTAGAACACGATCCATCCAAAAATATGTGCCCCCAGAGGCCATCGCCAGGAACAACCGAAGGGGGACGGTCTGGCCTGGCAGGATCAGGGAGCAAGTCCGCGAACCATTCCACAGTGACCCCATCTGGCGATATAGCTGGCTTAGGTGCCCAATCCCCAGGATGTGTGAACGCTCCGTGCAGCCACAGAGCTCTCTTTTCAAGGTCGTCCTCTGGCACTTCCAGCGCCGCTTCCTGAATCCACTTCGGTATGTGCTCGTCCCGCACGGCCTGCACGCACGGGCACACCCACAAACGGTGAAACAGGGTGTCCTTGGCGCCGCAGCCGAGCGGGCACAGGTTGGAGATGGGATAACCTAAGTCAGCCGCATCGCCTGCAGTCCAGCAAGCGATGGTAGCTAGAGCTCGAATCATGCCCTTCTTCAACCCTGGGATTTTCTTCGGGGCCTGCAGCCTCTTGGGCACGTCCCAACAGGGACGGCTACCCACGTGAAACTTATCCCCCGACTCACGTTCGAGGCTCCGCAAAACCGCCTCCTTACAAAAAACCTTGACCAGTTTAGGAGGGGAAAGGGTGAGGGAGATCTCTCGACCAAAATCGTCAACGAGGGTTCA